TACAAATACTTAAACATAATTTTTAAGTAATTTGTAAAAACATTAGTCTTATTTAATAATGTAATAAATATAGCGAAATAGTAAATATACTAATAATTTATTATTTAATTGAACTCGCTTTGAGCCTCAAGTACCAACAATGTTCTCTAAGTTTAATTTTCAAATCATGTTTCTATTAAGCATACACCTAACTGCTGGCTTTCACAAACTCTACATTTCTTTAAATACCTATTTTAGATACAAACTAGATATGTGTCTTACTATCTTAATATTTTATACATACATATACATTGTATATTATACATGTAAATAGTTTTATATAAAAAAAAAAGGAATAATCTTTTGAAAATAACAAATTTGCTTTTAAGTTTAGTCTACCGTACATAACTTGCTCATTTTAATGTACTAAATTTAAATTAAATTTACTAAATGACATCAATAATGTGTCTTTTTATTAGTGAATGATGACCTTTACACATCAAAATTTTACACATTTCATATATACATATATTCACATTTATTCAAATCAAATTAATTTTTTAAATGGATAGTCTTTCTAAAATAATGAATTTGCTTTTAAATTAATTTTACCACGCATTGTTCACAAATTTTAATATACTAAAATTTACTAAATATTACAACAGTTATTTGTTTTTATATCAGTGAATGTTGATCTTTACGTATCAAAATTGTACATATTTCAAATATCTTTACATTCATTAACCTTTCCTGACAGATACCGAAAATGCTTCTAAATACGTTACAAAATTAAGAACAAAAATGGAAATAAAAAAGTTTTCGATCTTGATCTAAAACCTAACCCTATTTACCACCCAGAATATATTACAATAATTTTTTTCTGATGCGATTTACATATTTTAAATACTTGATAATTATGTTTGATGTCATAATTAGGACTTTGGTGTTGTTATAGTTATATTAAAAACTCATATTATAATATTTATAATAATATAAAACTTTATTCTGTATATTATTATACACGGTTTTTACTTATTAAAGAAAAAAAAAGTCATAAAAATGTAGTTTGAAAATTAATTGCTTACACAAATGTAATGTATTTTATACATTTTATGTAAATATTGTTGTGACTTCCATGCGATGATGGCTTTACACTCCATAACACAGATGACCTCCTATTGAACTATTGCTTGTTTTTTTTTTTTTTGTTCAAAGACATTGAGCAATAGGCATAATTGGTAGGCTTAATTCGTGAATTTCGTAACTCCAAAATGATAACCTTTCAAGAACGACAAAAAACATCACATTAATTTAAAATAAATTTAGCCAGATTACTGTATTCTTTAAAATTATTCTTTAATATTTTGTTGATATTTTTTGAATGATTTGTATATTTATTTAAAAAGCTGAACTTGTATAAGGATTTAAGACTTTTTCTTTAAAAAAACACATTTTTTGAAGTTAAGATTTTTTTCTATTTTTATTAATAAATTCTTTTATGGTTTTTTTAAATGGTATAATTTAGTACCTATAACAAAGCAATTAAAACAAAT